TTGAAGAGCTGAGGAATAGCGCCAACTTATTTCCAATTCTTGGAGTTCATTTTGATGCACTTCATTATATATGATCCTATGCACTTAGCGATTGGGCTATTGTGATCCTCTGCTAAGAATATCATAAACATATTCTAGTAGTTAGAAATGAGGGAAACCATGCAACCTTCTTTGGTCCTGCCTTGCTTTGCTTCATACAATTTTTTTCAGGTCTTTCCATTTCTTTACAAATGGGGCAATGTCATTCTTTCTGATGGAAGCATAGCTGTGGTATATACACCACATCTTTATCCGTTGATCTACTAAGGGTATCTGGATTGGTTTCATGCTTTAGTAAAGTGCTTATGAAGAATACAGTGGCAGTAAGTATTTTCAGAATATAAAATTTCTATGCTTCTTCTCTTACTAGGGCCCCTGCGTTTTCTAATACAAAATAGGAAGATACCAATTACTGTTTAACCAGTTGTTCAAATGATGTAATATCTAAAATGCATTGAACTTCTCTGAGAGTAATGCCCATTGGTGCATATCAAGAAAATGTGGTATATATTATTAAAGCTTTGTAAAAATTTTTTTGGCCAGTCATGAAGCTTGAACACGGGACCTGGGCACTGTCCCTGAGTTTCTTTTGCTCAAGGCTTGCACTCTACCACTTGAGCCACAGTACCACTTCTGGCTTTTTCTGTTTATGTGGTAATGAGGAATTAAACCCAGGGCTTCATGCATGCTAGGCCAGTATCCTACCGCTGAGCCACATTCCCAGCCCAAAGTTTTGTAAATTTTTGAAGAAATACCATATTTTGAGTACTCAAGAACCACTATTCTCCATACTCTATTTTACTTCTCTGTTCATATATGAGCAGCTAAATGTATTATCCATGATTGATATTTGAGACTGCTTTCTTTGTAAGTACATATATGGGAGATGAGGAAAGCAAGAGTAAGCAAGGAGGTCAGTCTGATGAAAGTAATTTATATGTACATGTGAAATATCATGGAGAAATACTTCTTTGAACAATTAACATGCACCCAAAAATGAGAGGAACTTAAAACAAATATGAATAATAGTGGGGGAAATGTACAAGATGAAGTTAAGTGGATATGGTTTAAAAAAACTTTATATACAAGTGTGAAAATGGAAGGTTGCTTAGGTTGGTTTGGAAAGGATGTCTGGGAAAAGGAAGGAGATTGATGGAAGGGATGAGTCTGATCAATAGATGTGTTTGCATCCATGTGAAGATGAAGCCACCTTGTACAACTTATTGATGTTAATAAAATGTGGAGAAAAATTTAAAAAATTAGATACGATATATACGTATGTATATATATATATATATGTAGATTAGATGCAAATATATACATATGTACGTATGCATATGTATATATGTAGAGAGCTCTCTATACACACACACATATGGGGGAGAAAAGAGAAAGGGAAAGACAGAGGAAGGGAGGAGAGGGAGAGAGAAGCTCTACTAATATACATTTCTTTTGGCCCAAGGTATTCACCTTTCCTTGGGACATGCCTTATCTTGGTTTCCTCAAGGCAGGAAGAATATGACTGTAAGCCAACTGTAAAAGTTATGCTGAAACACACCCATAAACAATTTCAATAAAATCAAGAAGCTCTAAGTAGCTGTGATCTAGTAATGGAAAATACTGCTAACTGGCACATCCCACTTTGTGATGAAGAAATTTTACCTTATTCTTGAGTTATAATCCTGTTTCATATTTTGCAATATATGAGAGTCTTTCTTTAGTCTTGACTCCTTCAAATTTTGAACCCAACTAAGTTTGAGGTTTTAATCAATTGTTCTTACAAATTGTAGACTTCTAAAAACTCAGAAGGAATAAACTTACACAAGAGTGCTATTTTGCTTCTAGTTTTTCTGCATTTCTTTTAGCAAAAGAACTCATTCTTTTAGTTTTAATCCTCTTACTGTTTCCTAGAAAAGTACAGATTATTGCCTGAACTTTTAGTTGCATTTGGTATAGCACCCAGGCCCTGAGTTCAAGCATAACAGTTGAATCTCCTCAGTAAATATGTCCTTGAGAAAGTTATCATGAAACACTCATGGAGAGAGAAGGACAGGTGAGGGACTGGGAAGAGAGTGAGGAAACAGAAGACACTGTGCAAAAAGAAATGTATTCATTACCTGACTCATTTAATTATAATCCCTCCATACATCAATTCTATAATAACAATAAAATAAATTAATAGAACCTAAACATCAATGGAAAAACATTGGCATTGCACCTAGATTTAGGTTAGATATAGTTTATCCCCCAATGTCCATGTTGGGAGTTTTATCCCCAGTGTACTAAGGTTTTTGAGACCTGTAAGAGGTAGGAATTGATTAGGTCATCCGGGGCATCACCCTTTTAGGAAATTAAGGTAGTTCTTGTTGGACTGTACTCTGAGTTAGTTCTCATAAAAGTTGTTATATAAAAAAGAAAAGGCCTAGGCCTTTGTCCTGTGCTACCTGCTCCTCTAATCATGTGACTGCTTTTTGATACAAACTACCAGTATTGTGATATTATTGGCCACAAAGCCTTACATTTTAATAAATTTTTCTCATAAAATACCCGACTTCAGGTATATAGTTGTATAGCAGAAAACAGCTTGTCAAGCTAATGCACATTTAAAAATAATTTTATATTGTGTTTTAATAGTAATTCAAGTTTAATAACAACATAGGTGGTCCATAAAGGGAAGGTACATTGAAGTATTTGGAGTAAAGATTGTGCAATTTGGACCTGCATTTCTTGAGAGGGGCTTGGCACTGAGGAGCAAATGTCAGCTTTCCAATCTGCAACGATTTCACTATAGTTGCTGCAATTCACATGTTCTTCCTCTTAACTTGGAAAAAAGGTACACTGATCAGCATGATATTTTTTAGAAAATGCTGCCTATACCAATTTTTTACTTTTTTTAACCATTCCTGTGGGCTCCATTAAGAGAAAAACACTTCCAGAATCAATTGGCATTTTGGGTCATTTCTAATCAGGGAGGTGGTTTCTTGGCATTCACAAGTACTTAACTGACTAGCTAGATTGTTCAGTCAGTATTGTGCTAGATACTATGTGACATATAAAAAAGTCTAAGTTATTTTTTATTGTTAATTGTACCTCTTTTGTGGTAAGGAGTGATGAAACAACATGATCTTTATTGGTAAGAAAGTATGACAACAACTGAAGATAATTGAACACAAAATGCTAATTTAAATTAGCTCTGTTGCCTAGCATACTTTGTTTTCATTAAAATAGGAAGTCTTTAAATTTCAAAGGATAAGTAAAATTTATATATATATATATATATACATATATATATATATATATATATATATATATATATATATGGAAGGAGAAACATATTTTAAGTAGTGAAGCAAGTGAATAAAGATACAAGAGGCATGTGTGTGCCCAGAACAGTCAATTCTGTCATGGCTGGAGTAAAAAACATATTAGGAAACTGAAAGTGCTACTACATTTATATAAGCACTTAAAGGTTTTATAGTGAATAGCTGGATGGACAGATTTACATGAATTTTTCATACATTATCTCTGTCTAGGTATCTCTACACAAGATTTCTGAATTTATGTTGTTGGTCATGGGGCTTGTTCCTGAGCTGTTTTGCTCAAGGCTAGTGCTCTACTACTTTGAGCCACAGCACCACTTCTGCTTTTCTGGTGGTTAATTGGAAACAAGAGTATCACAGATGTCTCTGCCTGGACTGGCTTTGAATCACTATCCTCAGATCTCAGCCTCCTGAATAGTTAGGGTTACAGATGTGAGCCACTGGTGCCCGGCTCTGTGAATTTTAATATTTGAACATACTGTGTTATGATCTTGACATTTAGCATTGCTCATCTACTTCAGGACACTGTCTAGAAGAGAATTGTTAATTCCCCAGAAAAACAACTCCAAAGAACATATGAACAAGATAATTAACATTGTGGAATATTCATCTAAGTTTTTAAGTATGTGCATGTGTATATCTTAATCAAAACATGATACTATACTTGTATCCTATATTTTCACTGAATGATTCTCATACCATAGATGTAATTATGAGAGTTCAGCTTTACTTTGTAATTCTTCATTTTGCCTCAGAATGCATGAATTTTTAGGGTCTGCCTTCAGAGGATAGATTTAAAAGGAAGTATCAGTGGTTAAGTATGAACTATTATCTGCATTCTTAGAATTCGTTTGTACATGCAATATCTAAGATGATGTGTAATATTACCTCAGTTATTATTGTCTGAACACTATGCCTTGAGATGGGAGGCAAAGTGACCAACATTGTTACAAACACTGCTATCAAAGGATGTGATACCAATAACATATGTCATATTTAGGACACTATTCATAATAATTTCTGTCTAGGATTTCAAGTTCATCTTAGATCTATGAATTTTCTGCATTTGGCCCCAAGTTCATCTTTTCCATGTCATATTCCAAAAATCTTTGGTTCAAATAATACATGTAGGATTTCCAGCAAGAAATATATAAAACACATAGTATTAAAGAGATTTACATAGTCTAACTTTAAGATACACTAATAAATCAACTTAGCTTTCACTGAGAATATAAAAATCCAATAAAAGTAATTCTCCTATAGTCAGTATATTTCAAATAATATATGGTTTATTTCCCACAGGAGGTAGAGGGGAAACCCATGTGGTGATAATGGAAAATTCAGAGATTTTTATTTAATGTTTTATTAAAGCACTCGTATTCGAATATTTTATGTTAGTAAAGCGTTATATTCACAACATCACTTAGAATCAAGTGAAATGAAGTAGAAAACACCAGTACAATATTGATTTTCCTTTAAATTCTTCCTATATGGAAAATGTATACCTTAGATGCAAAAAAAAATTAATGACTTTATTCATGTGATGGTGTGCAGGCTGCTTTATCTTTTCATTTCGTATCACTATATCTGTGAACTTAGAAAACAAAGCATGGTTAAATAATTGTTTGTTGTTTGCTTTAGGTGATAATTCAGGATGATGGCCCTGAAAAACTGGACCCCAAATATTTTGGAGAATTGCTTGCTGATCTAAGCCGTAAGAATACAGATCTATATCACTGCTTACTAGAGCATTTGCAGAGAATTGGAGGAAGGTACTGTAAAAATTTCTATCTTTATGCAATAGATACCCAATATTTCACTATATTCTTATACTTTTAAAAATTGACTTTTTAAAAACAGAAGTTTTATATTCACAGCAGAACTATTAGTGAGTTCTATTAGAGAATAATGGGGCAACCGTATGACGAAAACTGAACAAATATCTCATTTTAAGAGTTAATAGTACCAAAGGCCTACCTATCACACATTCTTTTTCATTGCTATCTTTTCTATTTCTTTCTTATCTTGCACTTATAAAGTGAATCAGGAAGTTATATTAAGAACCGGGGTGTTGGAATATTTTTTTCAACATGGGTTTCTAAAATATGGTTTATTATACTTGTAATTAAAACAATTTTTCCTCAGAAGTAGCATGTCACTTCCATTCATATTTTATTTTTTAAATAAAGGCATCGAATATTACCTAATAAAAGAGTTAATAGTAATTTATGTACTTTATCAAAGACCAAAATAATCCTGTAAGGATCAACAAAGCATTCTATGTGCAAAAGCAAACTTTTGGACAAATAAATAAGAAAAGAAGTGCATGGCATGTCAGAAAGCTAATGAGAACTTGAGGAAAGAGAACTTTTGCACACTATGCTGATATTAGTTGGTATAGTCCTTATGGGAAACAGTATGGAGGCTCTTCAAAAAACGAAGTCTAGAAATAACATGGCCCATCAATCCCACTACTTGATATATAACCAAAGCCAGCACAGAAGTCTGTATGACTTTATCTCTAATTATCAGAAAAAAAAGCTGGACTGGAAGCATAACTACAAGTAGTAGAGAACCATCCATGAGCAAGTAAGCAAACTGAGAGCCCAGGGTCCTGAGTTCAAGCCCTAGTACCACCTATACACACACATGCTTCCACACTCAAACAGACATAAGAAAATCATGCGTTGTTCTGAACAACAAGACCTCTTGAAATTTCTTATTCATGGTCAAGTTTGAGAATCACTAGGCTAAGTTAGCAAAAATACAAAACCTGGGACTAGAACCCACACTGCATTCATTTCTTTAATTCGGCAAATCACTTTACTTTTCAATAATATATGTATAATGTTGAGTGGATTGTTTAAAATACTAAAGGCAAACTGAAGGAATTTTCTACTATTTGAATCATTACATTTGTAATGAACGTAGGATTTGTAGAGATTTTTAATTGCTTAAAATGGGCTTTTAAGCACTTACCATTTATATAAAGTGTAGGACCAGGATAGCATTCTGTTCTGCACCACTCAACATTTCAGAGCATATGAGCTTTGTGAAGTAGCTATTCTATAAAATTGAGAGAATGCCAGTTAAACATATCCAAAATTCTTGGGGGAATCATTTGTCCATTCATATGATGAAATTATTTACATTGTGGAATTATTTTAGATTAGTAGATAGGTGCTGGTGGCTCACATCTGTAAGCCTAGCTACTCAGGAAGCTGAGATCTGAGGATCATGGTTCCAAGCCAGCCCAGGCAGGAAAGTCCCTGTAAGACTCTTATCTCCAATTAACCACCAGAAAACTGGAAGTGAAGCTGTGGCTCAAAGTGGTAGAGCACTATCCTTGAGCCAAAGAACTCAGGGACAGCACCCAGGCCCTGAGTTCAAGCCCCACAACCAACCAACTAACAAATAAATGAATGAATAAATAAATAAATAAATACTCCAAGAGAAATGAGGTCTCATAAAAATGTGGTAGTTAGGAGTTCCTTTGGCCAGGAGGTTAGCAGTTTCTTCTTATTCCTCATCCCTCCACTCAATGTGTCTGTCTCTTCATTTCTTCTTTACTGTATTCATTCCTTTCCTGGAGCTGTGATGGTCCTGTCATATCACAGTTTCTTTCTTTGCCTAAGACATCTGCTGTCATCCCCCAGTGCTAAATGGAGGAATAAACAACATTGATTGCTCCATCCTTCTCATATGCTCCTTTCCTGTCCACTTCCTCCCTGTCGCCCATCCTTTGGTTTCCATTTGTCTTCTCTTTCCAAAACACAGTTTAGCAATGAGTGAACTGCATGGTCAGAATTAACGTTTTCTCACGGAATCATTCTGATTATGTTTTGTAATTCCAACATTTTACATTATTTATTGCTCTGTGTTTATTGGTTTCATTTTCTTATATATAAAAAAGGAAGTAAGTAGGAGCATGTGAACTAAATTGCCATTGAGATTGAGAGAAGAATTAGTGTTTTTTAAAACACAAAATTATGTAAGTATAGTATCATAATTCTAGTTAACATGAATGCATGGCTACTGAAACTGTTGTGATTCATGTTTTCAACTTGCTTCAGGTTCACAAATCTGCATGCATTTACTTTAATAAAGCTCTTAAAAACAAGAAGATATTTCATTTTGTCAAGGGCCTCCTTACATTTCTATTTTGAGCTGCACAGGAAATACCACATAACATACATGCAGACAATTGCACATATATTAGTCATGCTTTGAGAAATGGCAACTTCAATTCTCTCTCTCCACACGAGCTTGTATATTTTTATAGATAAGTGTAAAGTGGTTTTGCACAATGAGTGACCCAGTTCTCTCTGGAAGCACAGATTACTCCTAAGTAACTACTTCAAAGGTAAAGCTAGGTGCTAATGCACTGAAATTGTTTTAATTAGTATATTCTATCTTGTTGTTGGAACATGTGTAACTGGTTTTGTTTGTTTGAGAGGTATGTTCACCATATGTTTTAAGCCCAATTGTTTCACCAAGTACAGACAGCAAGTAGACAAAAAGAAAAGGCTGTCTGTTGCCCCTGACAACAACAGAAATGTATTCTTTTCCAGTTGTTACCCTCTCCAGAGGAGCAAGTACCAATCTGGTCCAACAACTCACAATTTTACAGCACTTGCTTGCCTAGCAGGGCTCCACAAAGAACCTTTCAACATGTGTGGTTAAAAGTTTTGTTGATGGAAGATTCTATGATCCCAGTAGAATTTTGGTTCTTTGGTTTAAAGCTTTGTAAAGATTCAAATACCCTTCCTGAAGCCTTATCATTGGTAGACATAGTATAGATTAAATGAGTTGATTTCATTGTACAATTTTTATATTGGTAAAGAAGTTATGAAGAACCTGAAAAGATTGTAGAAATAACCTAGAATCAACATTGAAAGGGAGTAATGTGAGGAGAAAAAGAGGCAGAGAAAAACTGTTAAAGTTATTTTATTCTTCCAGGTAGCAATTATCTCTAAGCGCCAAGGGCTTCTATATCTAGACTCAAACAGGACTGTCATTAATTAAAGTTGTACTAGCCAGTTGTACAAAGTTCATTGTTTTGTCATTCAGATGTGGCTCAGTTTTCGTAGATCAGCTAATTCCAGGAAAATTATTTTAGTCCAACTAACTAAAAGTACCATTTGAGAGAGTTTACAGTTTTCATTTGTAATTGTGAATTGGACCAGCACTTTTATGATCTAACAAAATAGACAAAAATAGAAAAGTAGCATTTATATAGAGCAAGTGAATACCTTTTGCTAAAATTGTCTATGTTTTGTTTTTGTTGTTCCTTCAGCAAACAGGACTTTGAGTCTACAGATAAAGTAAGTGCAAATACAGTTAAAAGCCACATATAGTGGATCACAGAGTAGACACACACTTTAATAATATTCTTTTAATTTAGCCTCTTTATTATACTGGAAGAAAAAAGGTCAGTGAAAAACAATTGTCATTTTACTTTAGATACAACCATGTACAACTTTGTAATGGTTATAAAAATAATAACTACAAAATGTTTTATCAGCTGTCACTTTAGGATTAAATTGTCTTTGTTCTCAGCACAGTTAGGATTTAATTGACCACATACACTCTGCTTTAGAAAAATGAATTATGCATAATTAAATAAGTAGCAACTTTATTTCTAATAGTTTTCAGTCTGATATATGCCAATATTTAAAGTAAATTTTTATCAAGTATTAATTCTATCACATATGCATTTTTGTTAATAATTTAGTTTAAAAGAATAAGTAATTGAGTACAAAAAGGACTGATTTCAATGAATAAGAAGTACAATCATTTCTTTTGTATTCTTTTTTATCTTTATTCCCAATGTATAGGTATACTGCATTCATTCATTACAAAAAAAACAATAAGTCTTAAATACTGTCATAAAACACTTGCTTCGATTTAACTTAAAATTAGTTGAGCTTAATGTTGTTGTGATATCATAAACTTTAATATTACCAAAACACTTTTATTTTCCCAACTTTCATTATTTTCTTATTTTACCCTGATCTATACTTATCTGTATATTTCTGGAAATTCAGGTATCAGTTTCTGTAGGGCCCACTGTACCTGATTCTAACCATTTTCTTGGCCAATCTGCTTCTGTATACAAACATGAGTTTATCTTGGTCATATTGCTTTCTCCATGTATACTTTTCTCTCTTCCTGGTTCAATAAAACAGGGACCATTTAAAAAAATTTAAGATTGACATCTGCAGCTCACATCTGTAATCTCGATTATGGGAGGTTAAGATCAGTGAATATGTTTGAAGACAGCTAGAGTAGAAAAATCTGAGAGATTTAATTTCTAATTTATTAGTGAAAGCCAGGCTAGGGACATTACTCAGATGGTAGAGTACAGCTGTGAGCAAGAGGTTGAAGGCTTGAATTCACGCCTCAGTACCAACCCTTGCCCCCTGCAATTAGCTTTTTGCCACAGCACCAAATACTGGGATTGCAGGCACTTGGTTAATGACCATTTTGTTCTAAAATTGCCTTATTTTTTTCTCAGTCCTGATGACCTAACCCAGGGCCTTGCACACACTAGGCAACATATCACTGTGCTACATACCTAGCCTTAAATTGCATTTTGTTGTTAAAGCTGGCCTCAAATTCACAGTCCTATGGCCTTAGCCCATGAAGTGCTGGGCTCACTGGCATGCTTTATCAGACACAGATCTAAATTACTTTTTTTGTCAGTCTTTTTGCTTGAAGTCAGGGCCTGGGCACTGACTCTGAGCTTCTTGTGTTCAAAGCTAGCATTTGAGCCACAGCACCACTTCTGGCTTTTTTGCTTATAGATACTGAGGAATTGAACCCAGGGCTTCATGAATGCAAGGCAAGCATTCTACCACTAAGCCACATTCACAACCCTCTAAAGTATTTTTTAAATGTAGAAATAGAAGGTTAGATTGGTCCACCAAATCTTTCCCTAAAAATGCTTAAGAATTCTTTACCATGTCTGTGTGACACAAATAATTTTTTTTTGGTGTCTGTTCTGGGGCCTTGATCTCAGGGTCTGGGGTGCTGTCCCTGAGTTTTTGCTCAAGGCTACCACTGTATCAATTGAGCCACACCTCAACTTTTGGCTTTTTGGTAGTTTATTAGAGATCGTAGTCCCACGGACTTTCTTGTCTAGGCTGGCTTTAAATCAGGATCCTCAGAATTCAACCTCCTGGGTAGCTGGGTTTACAGGTGTGAGCCACCAATGCCTGGAAATGCAAATGATTTTTTTAAAAAAAAATCAGAAGTGATAATCCAAAGTGTGTAGAAAGTTTTCTTTTAGAAGCAAATTAATATTTTAACATCTCTAAAATAATGTATCTTATTACAAAAGCTGCAGTATGAAAATACTAATGTGCTCAATGGATAAATTTCACTTTTGTTGCAGTCAGAAGACATTGAATCATTAATTCCTGCAGGATTGTCAGAATTTACAAAGCAGCAAATTCGCTATATTTTGCAGGTGAGATGGGATGGTCAGTGGTGGATGTCTGAGATTAACATTAACAAACCATTGCCTAGAATGCTTCTCTTAAGAACAGAGAATGACAAAAATTTTGTTTCACAAGCGTTGATTATACTTGAATTAGGCAAAGGTTGCATTATATTTTAATGAAACCATCCAAAACTACTGCTGAGTGATAAACATTCAAGAAATCATTTTAGAAATGTTATTCTCATCTTTGGAATATTCTTATTTACTCCTCATTGCTTTAGCATAGCCTGATTCAAGCTCTGCCTGTCTTTTCTCCATTCTATCCATTCCATCACCTCCCCTATCTCCAACCACTGTATCCACTGGTAGTGAGAGATGGAAAACCACTGCCTTGCTTGTACTGAGTGGAGACTAGCAAACAGATATGAAAGAAATATGACTAACATATAATAATAAATAGGTAATATATATAACAAATATATAACTAACAAGTAATTAATATATCTTCAAGGAAAGAATCTGAGGATGATCCAATTTTTTTTTCTGGTGAAGCCAACTAGTTTTGATATTTGGTCTCAGTCCTTTTTTGGTCATCCCAATATTGATATGATAAGATGAAAGTCCATACTTCAGTGCATGGAATTTCATTTTTGCCTAGCTAGGATGGAAGCCTCATTTCTTCCTTCTTCTTTTCCTGACACAAACCTGGTGAATAGTGTTGGTGTCTCCTTAAAACTAGATGATGGCCAAAAGTCTAGGCTTCTTTGATTGCCTGGCATGATTAGAATTGCATTTTGTTTCCTGTGGTGTTTGACTAGTATATAGTCGTTATTGCCTAAAAGTTTTTTCTGCCTTGCTAAGCTGCCCCTTTCATGAAACTTTCACTAGATAAGACTTTCCTTGGGAATTTGTTGTCTGTATTTATTGGCATGTTTGGGTACCTGCCTCCCCAACAGCAGCAGTCTGTGATATACAGTACAAAAAGACAAACCAGGAACCAAGTCTTATATCATTCTTCTTTCTCAATATTCCTTATTCCTAACTAATCTTTCTTTTACCATTCAGAACTTTAAAATATTTATATCTAATACTCAAGAGTTTTATTTGCACATGGCAACAAAAAGTAGGGAAAAGTAGTTTTTTTCCATTCTTCCAGTAGGCATTACTGCCATTTAAAAACTATTTTTCTTCAAGCCTGGTGCTGGTGGCTCATGCCTGTAATCCTAGCTACTCAGGAGGCTGAGATCTAAGGATTATGGTCTGAAGCCAACCACAGGAGAAAAGTCCCCCTGAGACTCTTATAACAGAAGTGGAGCTGTGGTTTAATTGTTAGAGCACTGGTTTTGAGCACAAAGAGAGCTTAGAGATAGAGCCCAGTCCTTGAGTTCAAGCCCCGCAACTGACAAAAAAACAACAAAAAAGCTTATTTTCTTCAAACATATGAAAATAATCTAGTAGCAATAATTGTTTCCTCCCTCCCTCTTCTTCAAAACTTGAGATGGTTCATACTTCAAAACTAAACTTACTTAATATTATATTCCTCTCACCTCAGGCAAAATCCATGTATTTGGCAGCACACTAAGGGAAATGCATTTTATTACTTGAAGGTTGAATGTCTCATTTCTTCTTCTATTTAATCTTTTAAATGAAATGTTCAAGTAAAATTGAGAATTATCTGATAGAATTCTGTTTATGAGAAAGATAATCTTTTGCTATATAAAACCCTGTAAACTTTTGTTTCAATACACAGCTGTGATCTCTTCAGGAATATTGTTTGGATTGCAAGCATATTACAGACAAAAATACCTTATGTCATGAGTCTAATATTGTCACATCAAAAATCAAATTGCAAATAAGGTGCTAGTAGAAACAGAAAAATAAGATTACTTTCATGAATTTTACCCTTTTTTTGAAATGTTAAAAAAAAACATTTGTTTTTGCTATTAGATGAGAGGAATGTCTGATAAGTCACTCCGGCTAGTGTTGTCTACATTCAGCAATATACGAGAGGAGCTTGGACATCTTCAGAATGACTTGACAGTAAGACATATTTTGATTTTTCTTTCCAAAGCTTCTCTAATTTCCATCTTCCTAATCCCGAAATGAAGATATTCAATATACTTTTTTAAAAACTTAATAATACTGAATTGGGGGTGTGACTCAAGTGACAGAGCTCTTGCCTTGCACATGCTAAGCCCTGAGTTTAAAACCCAGAACCTTAAAAACAGAAAACTTAATACAAAAATATTTTACTTATCTGAACATAGCTAAATTATTTTCTTGGAACAGACAAAAGAAGAGAAAAGAACTGTCCAATGTGAGTTTATTGTTTAGTTTACCAGATGGTAATATAATGGTTAAAGTCAGGGAGCAGCCTGTAAAATTAGAACAATCAGACTCACTGAATAGGAATTTTCTTTCTTTCTGTACTAATAAAGCATACTTTGAGTTTCTCTTCAACTGTAACAACTTGAAATTTTCTTTCTCTAAGAATGCAACTTTCTATTTTCTATTTTAATTGGCTTTCTTGGTGCCATCAGCTAGATATATTCAGAATGCTTTTCATACAATGAATTACTCCTGGAGGATTTTGGACTGTTTTTGTTTGTATGTTTGTTTCTGCCTTCTGATGAATGCAGTTTGACTCTAATTTGGAATTTCACCACTTCCTGGGATTAACAAAGAGCCTTTGAAGGTTTGGGGGAAAAAACACATTAAAACAATTCAGAAGATTCTGTTTCATTGCCCTTAGAGTTAGTTAATCCACCAAACCATCCTTTCTAATATAGTTTTAAAAGGTTTAATTCCTTTTCCATTTCATAGTTTACTTAACTTTTAAGAATTCTATTTTATTAACCAACTACAAATGAAGCAAGTGTTTATATAAATCTTCCAGTGTAAACAAGTCTTTGTAATATGTGGCTGTTGACACATTTCTGCAAGTCTGAGTTATAATAAATAATTGATGTTTCTAGTCACTGGAAAATGACAAGATAAGACTTGAGAAGGATTTGGCATTCAAAGAAACTCAAATAAAAGAATATGAAGAGCTCTTGGCATCAGTGAGAGCAAATAATCGCCAGCAGCAAGTAAGTTGATGCTTTTGTTGGTGACAAACTAGATTGATCTCTTTTCATATGCACAATAACTGACAGTAGAGTTATGAGATATAATCTTGACAGAATTAAAATATGACAGAACAATTTGTTCATGTAAGAATGGAATAGCTTTGGATGTTTCCAATGACTGAAAGCCCTCTCAGAAAAACAGACAAACTTATATGTTATACATACAAAATATATGTGGTATGCAATTATCTGTACTATTGGATGACAAGGATAGTATAAATTCTGAAAATGTAGGTTCCCTCATTCATTTAATCTACAAATGTGTTCATGAACAAAATCTTTTGTAGATCGTAACTTGTGCTTAGTCAGTGAATAATAAATGAATGCACACTAGAGATCTACAGACATCTGAGCAGAGATGATTCCTCGGGAATTATAATGTACATGTCAGGGTTGTTAATTCTTAATCAACAACTCTCATGATTATCCCAAATTCTTACTATGTCACTAATTCCAAAAGCAGGCACATGATCATTCTGATAATGAATATGAGGCAAGACACAATATTATCAGAGCAGTACGAATATGAAAACAAAATTGGGACTGTGAAAATTTATCAAATCTTAATTCCTTCTCATTTGAACTAGGTAAGATCAAAGGAAAAATGTTTAACTCCATAGCTGAATATGAGAATGTTGGATTTGAAAAGTAGTTGCCTGGTTTGTCTGATTTTAAACAATACTCCCATATCAAAAAGTAACTGTATTTGTCTTCTTTACAGGAAGGACTTCAAGACTCAAACTCAAAATGCCAAGCACTGGAGGAAAATAATCTTTCTCTTCGACATACAGTATCAGATATGGAATACAGACTAAAAGAACTGGAATTTTGTAAACATAATTTAGAGCAAGAGAATAAAAACCTTAGAATGCAGGTATTACACTTTTAAGTCTATAATATTGTCCATAATTGTAATGCTAGCATTAGTAATAGCAAATACACACCCACATATCTTATCAAACTGACATTTGAAGTTTTATAACAGTTCCTCCCGAATCCTCTCATTATTTCAGTATCTTCTTTACTTACATGACAATCATATATTAATAAGCCTTGTAACCTAACCTAACATGCAGATAGCAATCTAATTATGGAACATTATTTTTGTGTGTATAGGTTTCTGAGACTTGTAGCAGCCCTGTGCTGCAGGCTAAAATGGATGAGATTGGCAACCACTACATGGAAATGGTAAAAAACTTGAGACTCGAGAAAGATCATGAGATCAGCAAGCTGAGGGTATGTTGATCCTATATTTCATAAATACACAAAGCAGCACAGTTTTTCTAACCCAACAATGATAGTTTCAAGCTTAAAGCTACAAGGAAAAATCTACTGAAGGTCAAGTTTTAGAATGATGCCATAGAACCTTTTGTTTTAAATGTGTAACACTGTGTCAAAATTGGTAAGTTGTTCTCTAGTGTAACATAGTTTCTCCTCTATTATAGTAAAAACAATCTTAATGGGAAGTGGCGCTGTGGCTCAAGCATTAGAGCGCTAGCCTGGAGACAGCGCCCAAGCCCAGAGTTCAAGCCCCCACGACCAACCAAAAAAAAAAAAAACCAATCTTAATGTTATTAGTTTTGTTTTTATTCATTTCATTTTGAGGATAAGTGAAGGAGTTTTTATGCTATTGCTTAAAGAATGTTTATTCAGGCAAGAGCAGTAGTCAAGATTATCAAGCAAAGGCATCATTGAATTCATTGAAGTTTTTTCTCACTGAACTTTACGGGATGATAAATATCAAGGAAGTTGTTAAGGGGAAGGATAAGAACAGTGCTGAATTTCATGTTTCTTTAATTGGCATCAAAATCAGTGTATTTGTAAGAATAAGTGATTTACCTTATAATTCTAGTTTGGATTGATTTAGTCTAATCTTACTGATTCCTAAATGCAGTCAAATATACTTAAATATTCCTGCAGAAAAATACTAAAATGTTTTTCTTACCAAATATCAGTGTATGAAATATAAAAAAATCAGTGGTTTTACCAAAAACTACAATGAATCAAGTGGTGTGTGTGTGTGTGTGTGTGTGTGTGTGTGTGTGTGTGTGTGTGTGTGTGTGTGTGTGTGTGTGCAGAGCAGGTCCTGGTGATTGAACTCAGGGCCTGTGCTCTGTCCCTGAGCTTGTTTTTTTAATTTCATCTTTTAAAAATATTTTTATTTTCTTTAAGTAGTTGTATAAAGGAGTTGCAATTTCATATAGCAATATATGGATACAATGTGTCTTGATCAATGTTATCCCTTTTACCATTCTTACCCACTCTTCCTAACCTACCCCTTCCCTCACTTTTCTTAATTTTGTTCCCTAAGCTTTTTTGCTCAAGGCTAGTATTCTACCACTTGAACCACTTATGGCTTCTTTCTTTTTGGTTGTTACTTGGAGATACAAGTCTCACAAACTTTCCTGCCAGGGCTGACTTGTAGCTACAATGCTCAGGTCTCATCCTCTTGAGTAGCTATGACTATAGGTATGAGAGACCTGCTCTGGCTAAAGCATGTGTGTGTGTGTGTGTGTGTGTGTGTGTGTGTGTGTGTGTGCCAGTCCTTCCTGGGCACTATCCCTGAGCTCCTTTTGCTCAAGGCTAGCACTAGAGCCACAGCGCCACTTCCGGCTTTTTCTGTTTTTGTGGTACTCAGGAATCAAACCCAGGGGTTCATGTATGCTAGGCAAGCACTCTACCACTAAGCCAACGTACCCAGCCTAAAGCATAACCTTTTTAAAAGCCTACTAAGTTTTCTATAAGATTTTCTCCATTGCTTTCCTCTTTTCCATCTCAGTTTTACTAATGTCACTTTAACCTAAACATGTACAAAGAGGAAAATGGACAAGATTTGTAGTCACGAGATTTGTCCTGGAGTTACTGCTATTACTATGTAATTCCATATTATTTATCTTCCGGAATTTATTTACCTCTTTTGTAAAGAAGACTTATAGTAACACTTATCCCCCAGGTATTCTGTGAAGATAGCGATAAGACATGATAAATATTTTGTGAGCTGCAGGTCACAATAATTAGTATCACTAATCCTAAATTAGTATTTGACATTTTCTGAAGTGACTGTTTTCTTAGCAGTATTTCCGTTTTTGTGGCCCAAGTGTGTTATTTTGACAATACTTAATCTTAAATAGCAAAGACACCTTTAAAAATTATAAATTCCTAACTGGCAATTCCATTTCTATTTTACATTGATTAAATTATATTTAAATGTGTAACTGTCGGTACTTATTTTGTATTTCATAAGTAACTGGTACTCAGTTGTATATGATGTCAATGAACATGAGAGTAATACTTATTTCTTTATAAATTCTTAGTCCCAGCTAAACCAGTACCAAAAAGATGTTTCAAGGAGAGAAGGAAGTTGCAGTGACTTTCAATTCAAGCTTCATGAACTAACAAGCTTGCTGGAAGAGAAGGATTCCCTTATAAAGCGCCAGTCAGAGGTAAAGAAAGAAGGGAATACAGCTCAGTCCTGTAAGTTTAGAATGGGCTGTATCTCTAAGAAGCACTTTATTACAAATCATGAGCTATGTTTTATTCCTCTCATATCTCCAGTATGTGGCCAAGGAGTTGGCATATAATTAGTACTAAAACAAAAAAAAAATCTACCAAGAATGGTGGCTAATATCATAATACTCTTATTGAAAAAATAGTACTTGTAATACTGACTGATTAATTTTCTTTTAAGGGCCTGCATCTGCTTCTAGATGGAAATTTCAATATTTTTATGCTCTGAGTGTACTTTTTAAGCTTTTTATGACAAAAAATTTACATTCTCATCCTGAGACCAATGTCTGTTCAGTATCAAGTTGTCTGCCAAATAGAGATACCTATCTCAGATATGAATTAATGAAAAGACAATCTACTGGATACTGTGACGCAATATTATGTGATAGTCAGCAAGTGGAATGAACAGTTTTACATTAAAACAAACGTGAGGGGTGACAGTCTTACTTTGTTAAATGATCAAATGTATTTACTCCCTTCATGTTTGTACTTCTCTTAGAATGATTCTTGCTTTTTTATTTCTAAGGAACTCTCAAAGTTGAGACAAGAAATATATTCATCTCATAACCAACTCTCCAGCAATGGAAGGACTACCATTACCACTAAAAAGTAATGTATTATTAAATGAAATTGAAATGTCTTTTTCAATATTTTGCACCTGCATTTTGCTCACGTGGACATCATACTCAGACAGTCTTCCCTTGTTGTACTGATGACAGCTTACTTTCCAGCAACTGAGCAAAACCAAACAAAATAACTATAAATAGTTCCACATCAGGGGAATAATTGCAGTTGGTTTCTTCCATTTTGCCTCTTTTCAAGATGCTGCCACATTCCGGCTTTATCAGTGCTGCTTTTCTTTTTCTTTTTCTAAATAATATCCCATAATACCCATCTACATTTATTTATGTAGTTATTTACAACGTGATAGGTACTTGGGCTGTTTTTCAATTTTTGACTGAGTAATGTTTCTTTGAACATCCATGAACAAGATTTATGGACTATGTATTCATTTCTATTAATTATATTTCTTTTTAAAAAAATTTATTGTGAAAATACCGTACAGAAGAGTTACAATTACATGGGCAAGATAACGAGTACATTTCTCATCAAGTATTGTATATTTCTAAAGTGGTGTCTCCAGGTACATTTGACTCTGTGTTTAAGGGTTTTGTGAGGAATTCCCCTACTACTTCCAAATGCATTGTAAGATTCCAACAGCAGTAGATGAGTGTCAGTCCATTTTTTTCCAATTGTCCCTTTGATTGTAACCATCCTAGGTGGTGAGAAATAGTATCCCAGTGTCCCTTTGATTTGTAGTTCCCCAAAAGTAATATTTTTAGCATTTTTAATGTGCTCATTTTCCATTTATATAGCTTCTTCAGAGAAACGACAATTCAAATTCTCCAATTTTTATTTAGTTGCCTTTTAATTGTTGGATGAAAAAAATCGTTCTATATTCTGGATACAATTTCTTTGTCAGAGATACAATTTGCAAATATTTATCCTACATCATGAGTTATTTTCTCATTATTTGTGCACTTTTGGCAAGATATTTTAATTATAAAGAAGTTAATTTATTATAGTTTGTCTTTCCTTACTTATGCTTTTGGTATACATATAAGAAACCACTACCTAGTCCAATATTACAAAGATTTGTATCTATGCTTACTTTTAAGAGTTTTTAAAAATCATTTTATCTATTAAGTTTTGATCTGTAATCCATTTAGAATTATTTTCATAATGATGTGAAGCAGGTGCCCAAGTTCATTCTTATTCGTGAGATATTCAATTGTCTCAGCAACATCTGTAGAGCACATTATTTTCCCCACTGAATTTACTTGGCATCATTGCCTTGAATCAAATAAGCGAAAATATAAGGCTGAATTTGTAAGAGTCTCAATTTTATTCCTTTGATCTATTTGTCTATATTTTTGCCAGTGCCACACTGCCTTTATTATTGTAAGCTTTTAGTAAGTTTTGTAATCAAGATTGTGAGTCTTTAAATTGGTTTTCTTTCTTAGATTAGTTTGCCTATTATTAGTCTCATTCTTTTCATATGAATCTTACAATAAGTTTCTCAGTTTATACCAGCTGGTGTTTTTATGGGAATTTCACTGAATATAGAAACTCATTGGGTCATATTAGCTTTATGACATTAAATTTTCTGATCTATGAATGTGGACTCCTTTCCATTTAGATCCTCTTTGATTTCTTTTATTATATTTCCTTTTTGTTGTACTGGAGATGCAACTTAGAGCCTTATACATACCGAGCTGGACAAGAGTATTACATGCTACATCATTAGGCAGCCCTAGAGTCTCTTTAAATCCATATGACGTTTGTTCTTTTCATTGTACAAGTCTTACAGGTTTTTTGCTAAATTTATTCCTAAGTACTTTATATACATACATATATACATATGTATACATACTTTATATACATATATATATATATATATGTATATATATATTGGGGGTCAGTTATGGGGCCTGAACTCTGGGCCTGGGCGCTGTCCCTCATCTCTTCAGCTCAAGGCTAATGCTCTACCACTTGAGCAACTGCACCACTTCCGGCTTTTTCTGCTTATGTGATGCTGAGGAATCGAACCCAGGGCCTCATGCATGGAAGGCAAGCACTCTACCACTGAGCCACCTTCCCAGCCCGCTTAAGTATTGTGTCTTTGATGTCATTGCAAGTGAAATTGTTTTTCTATTTTCATTTCAGATTTTTCATTGCAAGTGCATAGTATTGCAATTGATTTTTATATTCATTTTGAAATGTTTAACAGTGTTGAACTCATTTGTTAGTTTTCATGTTTTTTATTGAAAATCTTGAAATTTCTATGACAAGATAATGTTATTTGTTAGTAGAATGCTTGACTTCTTCATTTTTATTCTGTATACATTTTCCTTCCTTCTTTTCCCTTCCATTCTTTCCATCCTTTCCACCACTCCTTTCATTCCTTCCATTTCTTCTTCCTTCCTTCACTTCCTCCCTCTCTCCCTTCTTCCTTCCTTCCTTCCATCTTCCCACCCTCCTTCCCTCCCTGCTTCCTTCATTTCTTTCTTTCTCCCTGCTTCATTTCTTTTTCTTTCTCCCTTCCTCCCTCTCTCTTTCTTTCTTTCTCTTTTTTCTTTCTTTCCTTTTCCTTTCCTTACTTCCTCCCTCCCTTCCTCCCTTCTTTCTTTCTTTCCTCATTCCTTTCTTTTTCTTTCTTTCTTCCTTCCTTCTCTTTTTCTTCCTTCTTTCCTTCCCTCCCCCTCCCTCTCTTCCTTCCTTCCTTCCTCCTTCCTTCCTTTCTCTTTCTTTCTTTCTTTCTTTTCCTTTCTTTTTTCTTTTCTTTCCTTCTTTCCTTCTTTCATCCTAGGGCTTGAACTCTGAGTCTAGGTGATGTCCTTAGTAGTACTATTCTTTGTGCTCAAGGCTAGCAGTCTAAACCTTGAGCCATAGCTCTACTTCCAGCTTTTTGGTGTTTAATTAGGTATGGGTGACACAGACTTCTCTATCTTGTCTAACTTTGAACCTTGATTCTCAGATCTCAGTTTCCTGAATACCTAGGATAATAGTCCTGAGCCATCTGCACCAGGCATATTTTGTTTCCTTTTGTTGACTACTGTCCATATAATCTTCCACAAAATGTCAAAGTGTCAAGAGTAGGTTCTTTTATTCCTGTTCTTAGGAGGAAGCATATTAGCTATGGGCCTCTTATCAAGTTGAAGATGTTCCCTTCCATTCAGAGTTTATGGAGTTGCTTTTTAGAAATTGTGAATGTGTATTGGAAATTTTTAAGCATTTTTCTGTACCTATTTAGATGATTAAAAAGATTTTTGTCCTTTATTCTGTAAATACAGTGTATTATATTAAATGATTTTCAGATGTTATGCAATCTTGCATCCTTTGAATTAAGCCTACTCATTCATGCTATATAATGATTTTTATATATTACTATATTTTATTTTCTAGCATTTTGTTGAAATTATTTTCTTCTCTATTCACATTTGATATTGATCTTGAGTTGTCTTATCTTGTGAAGTACTTTTTTATCTGGTTCTGGTATCAGAGTAAAAGGAATTTCATGGAATGAAATGGGAGATATTCCTTACTTTTCTATTGTTCTTAAGTCTTCCTAATGATTAGCATTAATTCTTTACATTTTTGGTAATACTAGTGGGAGGTGGAAATTTTGTTATTTTTGTTTTCATGTTTTTCTACTTGTTCTTGATGTGGTTTGGTACTTTGAACGTCTTAAGTTCTTGTCCACTTTCTCTAATTATCTAATCTGTTTGTATAGATTTCCACACTACTTTTACATACTAATTTTATTTCTGTACAATCACTGTTAGTTATAGTCTCAGTTAAAAATATTCATTTTAAGAAAATTTCTGCTTGTGCCAAGAAGACCTAGGGTTTCTTAATGTTTTCAGAGTGTCTGCTTTGACTCCGAGGTCTTTGATCCATTTGGAGTTGATTCTGGTGCAGGGTGATATATAAGGACCTAGCTTTAGTTTTCTACGAGTGGTTAACCAGTTTTGCCAGCACCATTTACTGAAGAGGCTGTCTTTCTTCCACTCTATTTTTTTAACTCCCTTATTGAAGATTAGATGGCTATAGGTCTGCGGGTTCATTTCTGGGTTTTCAATTGTATTCCATTGGTATTTTTTTAGCTGCCTTTTTGAAGATTAGATGGCTGTAGGTCTGCAGGTTCATTTCTGGGTTTTCAATTGTATTCTATTGGTCTTGAGGTCTGTTCTTGTGCCAGTACTAAGCTGTTTTGATTACTATGGTTTTGTAGCTGAAATTTTCTTTCTTTTTTTTGGTGGGGGGGTCCAGTCGTGGGGCCTGAACTCTGGGCCTGTCCCTCACTCTTCAGCTCAAGGCTAGCGTTCTACCACTTGAGTTACAGTACCACTTCCGGCTTTTTTCTTTTTTCTTATGTGGTGCTGAGGAATCGAACCCAGGGCCTCAGGCATGCAAGGCAAGCTCTCTACCACTGAGCCACCTTCCCAGCCCTGAAATTTTCTTAATAGAGACCCAGAAACACAGCAAATCAAAGAAAGGTTGGACAAATGGGATTCCATGAAATTGCAGAGCTTCTGCATGGCAAAGGACATAGCTAGCAAGATCAATAGAAAGCCCACAGATTGGGAGAAGATCTTCACTAGCCATACAACAGACAAGCGTCTCATATCTAAAATATACCTGGAACTCAAAAAATTTAATCCCCCAACAACAAATCCTCATAGAAACAACTACACAATAAATAAGTGGGCTAAAGTACTTGCAGAGAAACTTCTCTGAAGAGGAAAAGATGGCCAATAGACACATGAAGAAATGCTCAACCTCCCTAGCCATAAAAGAAATGCAAATCAAAACAACACTAAGATACCATCTCACCCCAGTTTGAATGGCTAGAATCAAGAAATCAGTAGATGCTGGAGGGGATGTGGCCAAAAGGGAACCCTACTGTATTGTTGGTGGGAGTGTAAACTTGTTCAACCACTTTGGAAAATAGTATGGAGGTTCCTTAAAAGAGTTCCTTAAATAGAGCTCCCCTATGACCCAGCAATCCCACTTTTGGGCATTTACCCAAATGATCACAAAGAAGACCATACTAAAGCTACTAACACAACTATGTTTATTGCAGCATTATTTACCATAGTTAAGATATGGAACAACCCAGATGTCCCTCAGTAGATGAGTGGATCAAGAAAATGTGATATATATACACAATGGAATTCTACGCCTCCATCAGAAAGAATGACATTGCCCCATTTGTTAGGAAATGGAAAGACTTGGAAAAAATTATATTAAGTGAAGTAAGCCAGGTCCAAAGAAACATAGGTCCCATGGTTTCCCTTATTTGCAATAACTAGTATATGTCTGAGACAAGCAGAAATGGTCAGATAATTTGAGGTTAGGTGAAATGAACCCCAAGATAAGGACTCAAATGCTTTTTTTCTTTCTTGCTATTGTTTCTAACATATTTATAAGATATTCCTTTGTTGCTTTGTATGTCCCTCTCCCACGGTATAACCTCTGTTTTCACTGTATTTGATGTTGGTATAATTTGTGGAGGAGCAGGGAAGAAACAAATTGTTTAAATAGGGATACAGGTGGACCCATTGCAACAATGAGATGTACAAATGTTATGTTGAAAAACAAACTTTACATCTTTGGTGGGGGGGGGCAGGGGTAGGGCGGGGAGATGGAAAGGGATGGGAAGGGGAAACAAAGGAGGAGGCAACAATGCGTGATAAGAAATGTACTCATTACCTTGCTCATGTAATTGTAACCCCTCTGTATGGTATTTTCACACACACAAAAATACTCATTTTATCTTTAGCCTGGTGCCAGTTGCTTACTCTGGTAATTCTAGCAACCCAGGAGGCTGAGAATTGAGTACTGTGGTTCAAAGCCACCTCAGGCAGATAAGTCCATGATACTCTTATCTCTAGTTAAACAGCAAAAAGGCAGAAGTGGAAGTAATTTTGGCTTCAATAATTTTCTCTACTGTTTTCTATTAATTTATTTTCTGTCTAGTTTTTCTAATTTTCCTTTCTGCTTGTTATTCTATTTCTATTCTGTCTGATACTTCTAATTTTCTTTTTTAAAATAATTTTGTATTGTGAAAATACTGTACAGAGGGGTTACAAGTTAACATGAGCAAGGTAATTTTCTATTCTGCTTTCTATTTGGATTTAGTTCATGTTTGTTCCAGTTGCTAAGATAGAAGGCTAGGCTATTCAATTTGGATTTTTTTCCCTAATAAATAAAGTTTTTATAACTGTTCATTTCCCTTTGATCTCTGTTTTCACTGTATTTCATACATTTCAGTATGTTGTGTTTTCCTTTGTAGTTGTCTCAATGGATTTTCTTTTCTTACTATTTTTTGGAACTGTTGGAGATACAACCTACTGAGGATCCAGTCAAGGAGTTTGTGTGTGCTAAGCAAGCACTCTATCACTGACCTATACTCACTCTCAGCCCTGTAAACCATTTATGAGTCCTCTTGTTATTTCTTCTTTGACCTATTTGTTGGTTATAAATGTTACATTGTTTACATACATTTGTCACCAAAATCCCCTATTGTTATTTATTTCTCATTCCATTTCATTGTAGGCAGAGAATATACTTGGTATGGTTTTTCAATCTTTTTCAAGTTGCTGTTTTTTTTTTTTTTCGATCCTAGAGAATATTTCATGCATATCTAAGAAAAAATTACGTGCTCGGGTCTTGATATGTTTACAATTCTATACATAACTTTTAGGTCTAGATACTTTAGTTCATCTTCTCTTTCCTTGTTAGTATAGTATATTGTCTATTAAATAAGAAAACTGAGTATTGAAATCTCCAAATACTATTCCTTCCTCAAATTCCATCAGTTTTTGTTTCATGAATTTGGGGGTTCTGTTACTAGATTTACATACATTTATTATTGTTATAGTCCATATTATGATTTTCTTGTGAATCAGTGACTTAATTATTATAAAATATCTTTTTTCCCTATAGTTTTGTTAAACATCTATTTTGTCTAATTATTATATAGCCACATATGCTCTTGGACATTTGTATGGAATAATTTTTTCTGTTACTTCATTTTCTAACAATTTCTGTCATTAAATCTAAAGTATGATTCCTGTAGACAGCATAGGATTATAGTTTTTATTTATTTTGTCATTCTCTTCTTTTGTTTAATCTGCTTACATTTAATATACTTTATAAGCTATGATTTACACTCACCATATTTCTATTTGTTTTCTACATTATCTTGTATATTTTTATTGCTATAATTATCCACAATTGGCTTTTTTGAGTTAAATATATTCCAATGTAATGTTTAACTAGACTATTAGTTTTATTTACATTTTAATATTTCACATTGTTTGCCTTAGAAATTTAATTAGCATCCTGTAACCATGTAGTTCAGACTAAATTATTGAGTACTAATTTAATAATATACAAAAACTTGACTTCAGCCACGTGCCGGTAGCTCATGCCTATAATCCTAGCTACTCAAGAGGCTGAGATCTCATGATCAAGGTTCAAAGCGAGTCCAGGCAGGAAAGTCTGTGAAAACTCTTATCACCAATTAACCACCAGAATACCAGAAGTGATTCTGTGGCTCAAAGTTGTAGAGTGAATAAGCTCAGGGATATCACCAAGGCCCATGATCGAACTCCCATCCCCCCAAAAAACCAACTTTACTTCTTTGGGGGTGGCAGTACCAGGATCTGAACTCAGAGCCTTGCATTTACTTAGCTTTGCTTACTTGGTGCTCTAACACTTGAACAATACCTCCAGACTACAGAACCTTTACTCTAAATGAACCCATTCTTTTTGTTCTATTTATCTTATTGTTATACAAATAATATCTACATACATTTTGACCATTAACACAGATTTACAATTATTGCATTGTGGATTTTTTTAGATGGAAGAGATGATAAAGAGTTATAGGCCATTGATGAAAATGAACTAAGCAATTCAAGGGCAGTGATGGGAGGGAGGGAATGAGAAGGAAAGAAGGGATAGTTTACACTAAGCAAAAGGAAAGAAATATACATATCACCACATGTGGAAGAAATAGTTGTATTAGCAAAACTTACAGAATTCACAAACTTTTTAGACCATGGTAATGACAATTTGCTTTGTGAAGGTTAAAATGTGTTTGTGACTTTAAGTATTACTATTCCACAATACTGTGAAGTTTATGGGATCACTTAATCTCAAAAAATATGAAAAAAGAGTTATAGATAGAAATATATGTGTGATAATCTTTACATTTAATTTTATATACTTATCTGTATACTCACTGATATATAATCATGTCTTGGTGATTTTATTCCTCCATATGAATTTGAGACAATATCTGGAGTTGTTAGAACCAGGTGCTAGTGTCTCATGCCAGTTGTCTAGGCTGAATCCATACCTTGGTTATAGTAAATAATGCTGCAATGAACATGGTTTGGCCGGTGGCATATGTATTCTCTGCCATTCTCCCTTCTTCTCCTTATGGCATTCTCAAAACATAAGTATTCTGTGCTTATGGTATCACAGTTATTTGAACCTTTACTTTTATTCAGTTGTTTTTCCTTTTGTACTTCAGACTAGGTAAACTCAATCTTAGTCTTCTGTATGTGAAAATCTAGGAGTGACTAAAAATGAAGGTTATATTTTCCTAATGCCTATTGACTTTTGTGTGTATGTGTGTGTGTATATATAGGTACAGGACACAGTATCCAATCCTAGGCCTCCTGTATGATGATTATGAATACATACCGCCAGGCAGTGACACACAGACTATTGTGATTGAGAAAACAGAAGACAAATGGACTTCTGTAAGTTGACTTGGACATTTCTATCCCTATTTTGACTGTATCTTAACCTTTGAACATTGTGGGTAAACTACAATAGACAATTATGAAAGAGACCGCTAATGTGGAAGAGACACGCTTAAATTGATTTTTTTCTTGCAATTTAAATATGGAGGCTATCAATGTAGATTGTAATTTCTTTAGAATTTTGAAAGAAGAGAAGAAGGATGTCTATTTTCTCACTAGATTATAAGATCTCCAGTTTTAAACCCTATAGTTTACAATGAGGCTTAACATTGTTTTAAATGTCATTTGATCTAATATCTACAGCAATGTGACTTGAACAACACAGACCACAACATGAGTCTAAGTTGTTTGATCCATTATTAAAAACCTTATAACTTAGAGTTCATTGGTTTTCACCTGTAATCTTAACTACTCTGGAAGCTGTGATCTGAGGATTGAAGTTTAAAGCCAATCCAAGCAGGAAAACCCATGAGACGCATATCTAATGACACACCAAAAAGCTGGAAATGAAGCTGTGATTTAAATGGTAGAGCACTAGCCTTGAGCAAAAAAGATCACAGACAGCACCTAGGCCCAGAGTCTAAGCTTGACTTTTGAAGTGTGAAAATAATTTTCATCAGAACACACACACACACACACACACACACACACATACACACACACACACACACACACAGAGCAAAGTTCTCTTCAACAGCCCCATTGGGTACTTTTAGTAATGTTTAGAGGCTTTTCTTTTTGACAACTAGTGGATGAATATATTGGTATCTGTTGGACAGAGGTCAAGCATGCTGGTAAACATTTTGCATTGTACAGGACAATCCTTCACAGAAAAGTATTATGCAAAAATGATTCCTAAGATGCTAGTATTGGTGAAGTTGAGAAACATCTATTCCTCCAATCTTGTAAGTAATTTTAATAGTAATCCACTGAGAGGGAGTAGAAGAGTGTGTGACATTTCTCATATGTAGCAGACAGAAAAGAGTTTGGCAGTCTCAGCTTTCAAATCATGTATAATCTGACATACAACATTCTGGAAATTATCTTTGCTTTTTTTGGTAAAATTGCCCACCTGTCAGACTGGGTAGGTATGAAAGACAAGGAAAACCTATCTATGCTTGGAATAGGTCACTGATCGCAAGGTTGGGTAAGATGGGCATTTGGATTTCTAACAATGTTCTACTTCTTGATTTGGGTGATGATTGCACATGTGTCTTTCATTTGGGAAATTTCATTTTAGTGAGTACTTGTGAAATATGTACTTATTTTACATGTGTATTATACTGCCTTAAGTAGACTATGAAAAGCAATAGATAAATACACAAAAGCCAGTTGAGTATTTTGGAGAGCCTTTGAAGAAATCTTAAAAATTACACTTAAGATGTGTTATTAAAATTAATTCTCTATTAAATAATCCACTTTTAAAATTACTATTTGGTCAAAAGGCTCTAATATTCAAATATACAAAAATGTTAGTAAGTTTCTAGCTCTGGAACTTATTTTGAATCTTGAAAACATGCCATTTTCCTTATGCTGTTAATTAGCTGAGATAACCAATTACTAATTATCAACTGTTAAAGAGTACTTAATTATTTAAGAACCAGATGAGTAGCAAAAGAAGTTCAACACAAAATTTAAAACTTTGCACTGAAGGGTAATATGGTGCTGAAAGTGAAGACGGAGAAACAATTGCTGCTGCTGACCACAGTATGACAAACCACCAAATTAAGAGACTAGAAATCTTTCTCTATTGAAATATATAACAATACAAAATAAACTTGAAATTTGAAAGGGCTAGAGAGACTCATAGTAAATTAAATAAGAGAAAATCTACTTAATCCTGTCTCATTTCTGCTTATAATTATTTGAAACATATATAATAACTGACTAAACTCATGGAAATAGATCATTGTTTCATAGAATATCATGTAAAAGAAGACCAAGAATGTTATGAATCTCTTATGTCCTTACTCCTAACAATTTAATTTTCCAGAACTATGTGCATACAATAATATCTTAAAGTATGAGCCAATTGTAATTTTTTCTTGTTTTTCTTTTTCTAGCCATGAATGAATCCATGTGACAGCATTACAACTCAATGGAGATTTAGTGTCTGCATCACTATTTGTTAGTTTTCTATCATTGATGATCATCCAAAAATTTGACCCATGTTACTTGCTACCCAAGGATTCTAGTGAAATGACTTAATTCTGCAGATGGGTTTTCCAAATGTTTAGGAGATGTGAATCCATTCTATAACATTTATTCATTTAGTATGACAATTTTCAGACTGAAGAAATCTTGTTTAAACTTATATTGAAGATGCTGTTAGAAATAACTCGCTGATTTTCAAATGGTGTTTTTCCTAGATTTGAGCTAGTTTGTAGAGAGTTTATAAGTTATTCTATTAGAAATATTTTCTCTGATATTAGATGAGCATTTCAGCTATACAATTCAATGCTGTTCTTTTAAAGAGGAAAAGACAAATTTAAGAAATAACTAGTAGGTGATATATCCAGCCTAAATTTTCTTCTCTAATATTAATCCTGTGAGTGTAGGAGATACTTTATTATGTGTTAATAGCACTTGTTGGACACAACTAAATCAAAGGTGATAGTTAATTTCATTTAGCAAAGATGTGGGCAATACCTTCCTATATTAATACATCCATTAAATGGTATATTAAGTTACTTGGGTGTAAGCACATGTCCATAGTTCCACAAATCTATTCTTCCAAAGAATAGCCTCTCCAGATGACTCATTCACTTTCTTAAAAACTGAACTCTATATTGTGGTGGTAGGGCCAAAAGAAGGCAAACATTTTCATAGTGAGGGGCAAACATAGCATTGAATTATTATATAAAGGCCTAAAGAATAAAAGTAGAAGCATCAAATACTTGATAGTTGAATCCTACTTGGGGGAAATATTACATAGTATTTAATGTACTTAGAATTTCTCTGGCTAGTTGGGTTCTAATAACCTTACAAAGTAAACAGAACTGTTAAATATATTACAAGATAGGAGCTGAATTTCTTCAACTTTTTCCTAAGACTGAACAAATACTGTTGCATTCATTAAAGTTTAGATGAAGGTGTCAAATATATTTGGGTTTCATGTTAACAAAGTTTGGCAGTATAATATCTACAAATATCTATCTAAAATTCTCATGGTTTATAAATATAGTTTAATAATTATTCAGTATACTAAAAATTGTTTAGCAAAGGTCAGACATGCCAACTGAAGCTACAAATAAGGGTAAATTCTTTGAATATACATTTATAGAAACATTCAAATAGGTCTTGCTATGAAGCTAAAAGACATTTATATTACCCTAGTACTTTGGTTGAAATGTTGGTAGAAAATAGGAATTTCTAAAATTCCTATTTTAACAGTATTTTATGGTATAAAATATTAATAACACTTCATAATTTTGGTTTTTCATTTGGTGTTGGAATAATTGAGTAGTTCTTCCTCTGCTAACTACTCATCTATGTAACTATAACAGAAGTGTATTTTATTCACTTATTACAAATTATATGCCAGCCAAATGCTTGTAGTTCATCCCTATAATCCTAGCTATTCAGGAGGCTGAGATTTGAAGATCATTGTTCCAAGCGAGCCCAAGCAGGAAAGTCCATAATTAGCCAGCAAAAAGCCCAAAGTGGAGCTATGGGTAAAATGGTATAGTGCTGGCCTTGAGAAAGAAACTAAGCAATAGCACCAAGCCCTAAGTTCAAGCCCCAGTACCAGTTATTATCTTCTTTGAAAAATTACCATTATTATTGTTTGAACTTGAAAATGGGTGTTTTTTTCCCAAAATAATCCAAAGTTGGGGAGCTGTTAAGATGTCAGCCAGTACTTCCTTGCTCCACTTGATCCATGAATAATGAGGTCATGAAAAGTCCTTATTAGATTTAATAGCTTTTAAAATTCTAATACAGAGAAAGGTGGGGAGAAAAAAGCAGTCATAATATTAATTGCATATCCTATGAAATTACGAAAATTGAGAGGAGGGGTTGGGAAGGATGGGAAAGAATAATGAAAGTGTGACATTGATTAAGATACACTGTATCCACAAACTGATTTGTTGAATGGTAACTCCTATGTACAAGTAAAGATAATAAAATACAATTTAATAAAAACACTAATACAAAATTGAATGGTATAGAGAACTGATAGATAGATAGATAGATAGATAGATAGATAGATAGATAAAAATATATATTCAAGTATACTTTGCTTCTAATTTGGAAGATGAATCGAAATAGGAATTATATCTTCTCACCAATTTCATAAAGTATTTATGAAAACTGCAGATGTCAGGGGAGGAATGCTTGCTCATCTAATTTCTATTTCCTTACGCTTTACACTTTAGGTCTGTCAAATAAAATGGAAACTACAGTGATATACAAAGTCGTTTGTTTATGTGTCTAATAAAATATGTTAACTGTATGGTCTTTCTGGAAGTTCAAACAGGAACATAGAGGATGGATTTTCCTCTTTGGCTCATATATGTCAGGAAGTTATGTGAATGTTTATGTTGAAACTAATTTGCCCCTCTAATGAAAACACATTAACAAAACCTTAAAACCTGTCCTGATGTAGACTACAAAGATGTCACTTTAAATGACCCCAGTTGATCCAGGTCTCTACTTCATATAAGAATTTGTCTACAAGCCGGGCGCTGGTGGCTCACGCCTGTAATCCTAGCTACTCAGGAGGCTGAGATCTGAGGATCATGGTTCAAAGCCAGCCACGGCAGGAAAGTCTGTGAAACTCTTATCTCCAATAAACCAATAGAAAACCGGAAGTGGCGCTGTGGCTCACGCGGTAGAGTGCTCGCCTTGAGCTGAAGAGCGCAGGGACAGTGCCCAAGCCCAGAATTCAAGCCCCACTACTGACAAAAAAAAAAAAAAAAAAGAATTGTCTACAAACCTAGTTTCCTAAGCTCTATACTTTACTTGTTTCAAATATTCTTCCCATCTATTTTATGGTTCTTCAACTGTATTACTTTTTCTTTACACGGGCAGTAACACAAAAATCTTTTAAATGTTCAGTACCCAATTTGGATCACCTTAACAAAAAGCCATCTTCACACATCTTTCCCATTATTGCAAGTTACAGAGATGACATATTTCTTTTGACAGTAAAAATCTTTTAATAGTAAATGATATGTTTTGGAAAGATTTCTTAAATATTGTATCTTCTCCAACACATGTTATTACTAAATTTAATTTCCATGGTACTTTTGGTCTAATAAAAATGTGGTATTTTCTGTATTTTTACATCCCCTTGGCTAGTAATAACTACTTTGATCTACAAAAGGTTATTTATGACAATTGGACAAATTTACCTGTACATAATTGCCCTGAACCAGTTCAGAAAACAGATTTTTCATTAATTCCCATTTTTTTTCCTTTCTTGTGAACCTAAAGATCTACAGTTTTGGATGGAATCTATTTTGCTATACAGGAAAACTTTGGGTAGTAAAATACTATTATTATTATTATTATCCTTAAGCAGGTTTCAATTCAATATGTTAGTTTGCACACACTGAATCTTCATGTCTAACCTCTCTGATCTTTCTCCTCCATCTCTTCCAACCCCACCTAGTCCCTCAATTTACCTGGTTCCATTTTCACATGTTCATTAAATATTATGACTGCATTTGCCTACACTTCCTCTCTAGCTTAGCACCACCTTCCTTCCCCTTGACCTTACCCCCTGCCAGCTTCCTGGTATTTTGTTAAACTGCAAAATAGTTGTTCATAGGCATTACATCATTGGAGTATTCTCATATACACCAGATTTAGTTGATATATTTGTTTATATATGCATATGACCTTGTATATTTACATATTTATATATATTTATAATTTATATCTAACTTAAACATATGGGAGAGAACATACATCTTTTGTCTCTGATTGACTTCACTTAACATTTTTCCCAAGCCCATTCATTTCTCTGCAAATACACACACACACACACACACACACACACACACACACACACACACAAACATGGGCCAATTCACATCTATTCTACCTGAAGTTTCCTCTAACCAATTTGCAAGTAAAAAGAAACCCATCCATTTTTCTCCAGTTGTACTGTGACCATGAATTGTCAGAATAATCTCTTACCATACTATGAAGCATTGCTTCCTTAAGCAACTCTTCAGTCCTCACACAGCTTCAAGAATGATCTTCAAAATGTACAGCATAACATACTCTTCTTTAAAACATCAAGACTCCCCACTTCGAACTACTCAGGTCATCTCTAATCAGTTTTTATCTTCCTCACCTAAAATTGTCTAGCAAAAGCAGGTTTCTGTGTTTTACTTTCTCCCAATATCTTATGTGACTACAGCATGGCCCCAAGGATTCCCTCTATTCACTTAATTCTTCAGAGATAGAAAAATGTACCAGAATTACAGGGAATGTTTTTTTCTAAATCATTTTTATTCACATGGTGGTAACATCTTGCTAGAAATGCAGAGTGCTAGGTGCCACAATTTAATCACAATGTGCATTTCTTTTGTCGGTTGTGGGGCTTGAACTCTGAGCCTGGGCGCTGTTCCTTAGCTCTTCAGTTCAAGTTGAGTGCTCTACAACTTGAGCCAAAGCACCACTTCTGGTTTTCTTGTGGTTAACTGGAGATGAGTCTCATGGACTTTCCTGCATGGGCTGGCTTTGAACCGCAATCCTCAGATCTCAGCCTCCCAAGTAGCTAGGATTACAGGCATGAGCCACTAATGCCTAGCCAGAATGTGTATTTTAACAAGCTACCTAACCCTCTATAAACATTTGAGGACCACTGATTTAATACAATGCTAATAGATTTTGTTTTCTGTTGTTCATTAATGACTAGTAATTCAGCAGGTAATCCTAGCTACTTAGGAGGCTGAAGTCTGAGGACTGAAGTTCAAAGCCAGCCTGGGCAGGAAAGTTTGAGACTCTTATCTCCAATTAAACTACCAAAAAGCTAGATGCAAAAATTTCAATGACAGCCACCAGGCTCTGAGTTCAAACCCTGGGACTGGTACAAAAATATAAATCAGTTGACACAGTTTTCACT